GGACAGCATGAGGTGCTTCCAGCAAGTGTAAGTGCAGCAGTGGGGCTCAGAGGTGGCTCTGGGGACTGGGGCAGGGGCTTGGACGTGGAAGCCCCTGTGCAAGCAGAAAGGGGTCTAAAGGGGAAGGGAGCTGGAAGGAGAGCTGGGAGCAGCAGGACTCTAATCAGTCTCCTTCCCTCTCTGGGTTAGATAAACATTGTAAGGACATTTTTCTGATATTAGTTTTGAGATCCAGATAAGTTTTGCCTTCAGGTTTTGCCATTGCTGGTTCCTGTGTTCTCTGGGATATTCAGAGTTTTTTTCAGTGCTGTCTTGCAGCAGAGGCAGCAGATCTAACTGCTGATATCTGTGTGAAAAGTGCCTTTTTCCCCTCAATTCAGCAGCAGATTTTCCCCTTTGTGGTGTGACAGCACTGCCATGAGTACAGGGCACAGCCCACACACAGTGCTGGGTGTCCTGAGAGCAGGACAGGGGTGGCCCAAAGCCAGGAGAGGACCCCAGGTAGAGCCCTTGTGTAACTGCAGCTCCTCTGTGGTTTTCCAGACATTACGACATCAAAAGGAACGACGACATTGTGTCATTCTTCAACGACTTCAGCGACCACCTGGCTGAGGAGGCCCTGTGGGAACTGTCCCTGAAAATCAAACCTCGGAACATCACGAGGCGGAAAACAGATCGGGAAGAGAAAACCTAGGAGGAGGGGTTGTGCGAGGAGAATTGCTCCGCAGAGGCGCCGAGGGCAGCTATGAGACTGGAGTTCGATGTTTGTACCTGTCACTGGATGACACACCCTCCCTCCCAGCTGGCAGCCATCCCTGGGGATGGGAATGCCGGGCGCAAGGCGCCGGCGCAGCCGAGGGCAGAGATCGGCCGGTGCTCGCTGCACTCGCCCTCCTCCTCCTCCCGTCCCTCTGTGCCATGAACCAGCTTTAACCCCGGGGACAGAGCTGTGTGGAAGGAGTGTCCCACGCAAGCGTGTTGCTGGTTTGCTGGCCTGTTGCGTTCAGGTGTTCCCTGGCTCTTGTCTCCATCCAGAGCAGGGGCAGCAGGAGCTCAGCACCCACTGACTCATCTCCGGAGCGGCGTCGGGCAGCAGCGGCCGTGGAAGCCAAGGGTTGGAGTCTCCCCTGCAATGCCACCTTCCCAACGTGTTCGTGAGGATGGAAGTGTCTCCTGCTGCCTGCCAGAGGAGCTCTGCTTCCAGAGAGCTGCTTGTGTTTACAGGGGTCTCGGCTCACCCCAGATCTCTGGCGCCTTCTTCGCGGGAGGAAGGCACCGGTCGTGGATACAGAAGAGGCACTGAAAATGTGGGCAGGGACCCGCCATCTCCAGTCATCACACCCCCTCCTCCTCTCAGATCTCGTTATTTAAGCAACAGTAAATCCCTCTGAACCTGGAAACACGGACTGCCCAGGTACTGGGGTCACCTGCCTGTGACCCCGTGTCTCTTAGCGATGGTACTTAGCTTTTGCACAGGAAACGCTGTAGGACACAGACTGTACATACCTAGTGTTTAGAACCCCATGAGGATTTTTGATGCATGTCTGAATACCAATGAGTTTATAGGAAAAAAAAAAAAAAAAAGACAAGTGCAAACCAGTCTGTATAAAATCCACAACCAGTGACAATGTTGTTCCGAGTGCTGGATAAAGGAGGCTCGGGGCAGCCAGGTGGGCACTGGCTGCAGAGCAGGGGCAGGAGCCTCGTGAAGGAGCCATGTCTGGGTTGGAAGTGGGAACCTGGAAGGAGCCCTGTGCCCAACTGAGCCACCCTGTCCTCCCACCCACTCCTCTCTCCTCTCTCTGTTGCCAAATGTTTTTCTCTGGGGGTCCCCGTTGGGACCCTCTGTGCTGTGCTTTGAGAGCTGTGCTTTGGCAGGACCCCCTGTCCCCAGTCCCACCATGCTGGTGCCAGCAGGGCAGGGACAGCCCAGCATGGAAGGGCAAGGCAGGAGTGTCATTTCCCACACACACGGTGTTAACCCCAATCTGTTCAGTGTGCCTTATTCAGCCCTTCTGTCCCCCTCTGTGTCCCACCCAGCAGCCCCAGCCAGGCCATCTCACATCCCCCCTCTCTGTCCTGCTCCCGTGGTTTGTGTTTGGATGGTGGGTGTGGATGTGCCCTGCAGGTTTCAGCAGCCTTGCCAGACAAGCTCCTGTCACATGGTCACAGGTTTTTACAGGGTTCTGCAGAATCCTGCAGGTTTAGGGCAGGATTCCCAAGGAATACAGACATGGGGTTTCACAGAGCATCCTTATTTCTCAATGGCAGCTCTGTGCCTGCTAAAGCCCCTGTTTGTTCTGGGTGAATCAGAGCTGCACTCCTTTCCTTCTCCAAACAGATTGCAAAGCCTTGGCCAGCTCTACCTGGCTCTAAGGAGGGAGGGACAGCCCGGGGTTTTACCCAGCTTGGTTATTTTCCTGAAGGCTCACACAGTGGCCAAGCACAGAGGGACCCCCTGCCCATGAGGGCATCTGGGAGAGGGGAGTGTGGGGTCCAACACAGTTCTGTGCAGCCCCAGAGCAGGAGGAGCAGGAATTTTTCATGCTGAACCACAGTGTCTGAGCTAGAACACTTCAAAAATGGTTTATTTTCATGGCACTGAGGACATTGGAGCTGTGTGTTTTGTCCAGCCAAGGCTTTGCAATCCCCAAAGGCTTCCCAGGAAGTAATATCCATGTTTCCTTTGTAAATAAGATCTTTTAAAAGAAGCCCAGCATGGCGAGGTGGTGAAAAGGACAATGAACACACCCAGGATGTGGTGTGGGCTTCACCCTGGTGGCTCTGAGCAGCCCTTGGGTGCAGTGGCCAGGCTGTGCCGGGGGGGCTGTGTGTGCTGGGAGCTCTGGAATCACAGCCCTGGGGGTTCAGAGGGACAGGAGGGGGCAGCTTGTCTTCATCCAGCTGAGTGACCGCGTTACGTGAGGGGTGAGCAAGTGGCTGGCTTGGGCAGCAGCACACCCCAAAAATGGCAGTGACTGGGGTTCCACAGGGCTCCATCCCTGGCCCTGTGCTCTTCAACATCTTTACTGACAGCCTGGACACAGGACTGGAAGGGATACTGAGGAACTTTGCTGACAACACTAAATTTGTGCACCACTATATAAAAGAAAATACTAAGCTATTGGAGGGTGTCCAAAGGAGGCCACAAGGATGGGGAAGGGTCTGGAGGGGCCTCAGGAGGAGCAGCTGAGGGCACTTGGTTTGTTCAGCCTGGAGGAGACTGAGGAGAGACGTTGTGCTCTTCAGCAGCCTCAGGAGGGGCAGGTGCAGATCTCTTCACTTGTGAGCAGTGACAGGACCCGAGGGAACGGCTGCAGCTGTGTCAGGGAGGTTTAGGTTGGAAATCAGGAAAAAGTTCTTCCCCCAGAGGGTGGTGGGGCACAGCACCAAGCCTGTCTGAGATCAAGAAGTGTTTGGACAGTGCTCTCACGTGGTGGGATTTTTGGGTTGTCCTGTGCAGTGCCAGGAGTTGGACTCGGTGACCTTGGTGGGTCCCTTTCAAGTCAGCAAATTCTGTGATTCCGTGATCCCCAAGCAGTGGGAGCCGTTTCCAGGTTCTTCCCTGCACTTGAGCCCACGAGCCCAATTAGCACCAAAGGAGGTCTTGCTCTCTGCCCTCTGCCAAGCCCCCGGAGCCAGAGGCTCAGCCCATGGTGTGGGGATGGGAGGTCTCAGTGCCCCCCAGCTTTCCTCCCCCTTCACTCCTTCCTCTGCTGTCATCCCCAGCTGAGCAGTCCCAGCCACAGCTCCTGGCTCGTGTCCCACCCTCAGGCCAGGCTCTCAGGGCTTGAGGGACCCTAAAGGAGGGTCCCCTCTTGCCTGGAGCAGCTTCAGGTTTGCTGAACAGACACCATCCCCTCCAGGAGCAGTCCCTGGGGAGCAGAAACCCAGAATATGTGCAGGACTGGCCATGAGTGTGTTCCCATCTTGCAGGCAGCATCCTCAAGGCCATCACCTCTTTTTGGGGAGAGGGAAGAGTCTGAGTCCCCTCTCCACACGGGGCAGGGAGTGGGGAGAAGCGACGTCCCCAGTCACCAGCCCCCTGCCCCAGGCCTCTCCCCACAAGCAGTTCCGTTGTATTATAGATTTACCACTAACCCCCATGGTGGCATCTTCTGCAAACATTTCAGACCTGTAACTTTTATATTAAAGACAAATAAAACACCAATAACGAGCCTGCCTGCTGATCCTGTTTACAGTGCATGCACAGTCTGTGGATTAAAGTGACAATCGAATCCGCCTCTGGCGCTGGTGTGGCCTCGTGTTTTCTCATGTGCCCCCCGTGGTTTTCCTCTGCCCCTGCCTCTTTCCCCTTTATTTTTTCACTGTAAATTTCTTCCCTCTCTCTGCCAAGACGGCTTTGCCTCCATACAAGCCATACACTTGGGAGGGGAAATCTCCTGTCACCTTCTCTGGGCACCGCTGTCCCGTGTCAGGGGTTTTGGCTGCCCAGCCCCGGCGTGTGCCCAGCCCGTGCAGTGGCCGTGTGCCCGCAGCCGAGGGCTATAAATAACCCCTGCAGCGGCCGAGCTGCTCCGTGCTGCTATTTCAGTCCTGGACAGGGTTCAAAATTCCTCTGGAAATAATTGTCACGGGCCAGCTCAGGAGGAGAATGCCCAGACACTGACCGAGCACGTGCCCCCTGCGCCAGGGCAGGAATGTGGGGCTGCATCCCACGGAACCAGCTCAGCAGGAGGGGAGTGCCCACAGCCCTGTGTCCCCCCAGGCAGCTCGGCCAGTGGCACCCAGGCCAGGGCCACGTGGAGATTCCCCTTCCCTGGGGTCCTGCACGGGCTGGTGCCCACCTGCTCTTGGGAAAAGCCTGATTTCAGCTGTTGCAGAACTTACCCTGAATTTCGTGGTGGACAAAGGCCATGGCAAAGGGAGATGTAGGCCCTTGGTGTGCAGAGAAAACAGAAGCTTTGGCTACAGCTGCAATTTATTTCAATCCGGAAGCAGCAAGAGGTGGCAATACAGGGCGGGTGTTGTGTGGTGGGGTGTGTGTGTGCAGGATTACTGTAGAACTGTATACATGGGTTTGTATATTCTCACACTATTAATGACCAGTGAGGGCTTCCCACACACCTGTTACTTCTGCTCCATTTCCAACCCCAATCCTACAAGATGCTCCCTCCACACCAGAGTCCCACTGGCAGCTCCAAGTGACAGCCCACAGCAATGGGATTCAGCATCCTGCAGCAGAGCTGGATCCTGCCCATGGATCCGACACAGCTCCCTGCCCAGAGCTGGATCCAGCAGGATGCAGCATCTCCCTGCCCTGGGCTCCTCCTGCCCTGGGCTGAGCAGATGGCTGAAGGCTCCGGGGCAGCTCCTCGCCCCGCCGGGAAGGACGGACGCTGCCCTGCAGCCCCAAAAACTCTTCGTTGTCACCCATTTCCACACAAGGCTGTGTCAACTTCACCTGCCCGTGCCCCACACCCCCCCTCAGGTGGCGAGCCACAAGGAGTTCTTGGCACACGCCGCGTCCCTGGGGCTCAGGGTCCTTGTCACAGGTACAGGGACACCAGGACGTAGATGATCCAGCTGATGGAGGCGAACAACCCGAAGAGGAGGCTGATGAGGACCAGTGACTGCGCCTTTCTGGATGCCACGTACGCCTGGGCCACGTCCCCACGGGCGAGCGCAGCCCGGGTCTGGGGCAGGGGGAGAAGAGGAGGGTTTAGAAGAGACCCGCAGCACCAGGAGGGGCTTCCAGGCCGCCAGGTGAGTCCTTGCTTACCTCGTGGGAGTAGACGAGGGCCATGACCCCGGTGAGCACGCAGCAGAAGAGGGTCACCAGCACCGACTCCACCGTGTAGTCCTTGGGCCGCTGGTGCCCGTGGCCCGCGGCTGAGGGCCCCGCGCCCGGCTGCGCGGGGTACTGCGGCACGGGGTGTTAGAGCGGCGAGGCCCGCCGTGCTCCCGCCCGGGCTGCGCTGCTCAGGGCACCGCGGGAACCCCACAGACCCGGCGGGGGAGAGAGGGGGTGAGCCCCGCTGCAGAGCGGGGCCGGAACACGTCGGGGTGGGGGATACGTACCGGGCTGTAGGGCAGGGGCCCGGGGGGGAAGCCCGGGGCTGGGAAGGGCCGCGGTCCCGGCCCCGACGGGTAAATGACGGGCCCTTGCTGGGAGTAGCCGGCTGGGTAGGGCGGGTAGTGGAGGTGAAAGCTCTTGGGGTCCGGCGGCGAGTAGGGTGGAGGGGCCCCCTCGAAGGCTGAGTTGGTGACCACCGACACGGCCACGGGCCCGTCCCCGGGGGCCGCGGGGGCGTCGCTGCGGGTGCCGGGGCTGGGCAGCCCCCCGGCCGCCCCGCTGCCGTCGCCCGGCTCCGCTCCCCGCCCGGCGGGGTCGCGGGCCTGGGGCCCGGCTGGCGGCTCACCGTCCATCCGCGGAGAGGCCTGCGGGGACAGGGAGCTTCTGGTGGACGGGACACCCACCCGAGCGGTCACCCCAGGGTCGGGGTGCGATGGGGCCGCCCTCGTGCTCCCCCCCAGCGCCCCATCCCTGCCCCACTCACGCCGGTGCCCGCGGGGTCCCAACTGCCGCCGCTCGGGGCCCGGCCCGGTCCGGCCCCGCCGCGGCCCCCGAGCCCCGCGTGGCCCCCGCGGGCGGCGGGAGCGCAGCCGGGCCGGTTAATCATTGACCCGCTGTTTGCCCGGGCCTGCGGCCGGCGCCGCCCCGCAGCGGCCAGCCCGGCCCGCAGCACCGGGGAGCACACGGGGCTGGCCCGGGGGTCCGGCCCATGGAGCACAGAGCAGTCAAGAACCTTCAGTTTGTTCCTGTTTAAACGTATGATTTGGTTTAGAAAAAATTTTATTTTTAGAATATTGTATTTGCATGTAGAGTGTGGTGTGTGTTCCGGATCTATTTATACACAAAATGTGTATAAAATTCTGTGTACTGTAGCTATAGCTATTAATATTTAAAATGTGTGTGTGGATATCGCTGTCGCACCCACGCACAGGATGTGTGTGCACGCAGTGTGTACGTGTCTTACTCATGTGTGTATTGATGTGTCCCGGTGTCTCTGTGTTGTACCTTCAGGTGTTTCTTCACAGTTCCCATGTACTGCGCCCTGCATGCACCTGTACTCGGGAACAGGGGTACAACACACACGGGTACAGGTGTAAAACACACGGGTACAGGTGTAAAACACATAGGAACAGGTGTAAAACACATGGGTACAGGTGTAAAACACACGGGTACAGGTGTACATATGCACATGGATGCAGGTGTAAAACATACGGAACAGGTGTACACATGCATGTGGGTATAGGTGTCAAACGCACGTGGGTACAGGCGTAAAACTCAGGGGAACAGGTGTACACATGCACATGTAAAACACACCCAGAACAGGTGTCAAACACACACAGGAACAGGTGTAAAACACACATGGAACAGGTGTACATATGCACGTGGGTGCAGGTGTAAAACACACGGAATAGGTGTAAAACACGGAACAGGTGTACACATGCACATGGGAACAGGTGTCAAACACATACAGGAACAGGTGTCAAACACTCCTGGAACAGGTGTACACATACTTGTGGGTACACGTGTAAAACACAGGGGTAGGGGTGTAAAACACACCCAGAACAGGTGTACATATGCACATGTGTACAGGTATAAAACACTCGGAACAGTGTACACATGCATGCGGGTACAGGTGTAAAACACACATGGAACAGGTGTCAGACACACGGCACAGATGTACACATGCACGTGGGTACAGGTGTAAAACACTCACAGGAACAGGTGTAAAACACACCCGGAACAGGTGTACATGTGCACGTGGGCACAGGTGTCAAACACACTCGGAACAGATGTACACATGCACACGGGTACAGGTGTAAAACACAGGTAACAGGTGTCAGACACACAGCCGGGGACAGGCGCGCACGCACACACGCTCACACAAGGGCCTGGGTAAGACAGCGTTGTCTGTAACAAGGCAGAGCCGCCCAGCTGTCCGTCTGTCCGGCTGTCCGTCTGTCCGGCTGTCCATCTCTCTGGCTGTCCATCTGTCCGGCTGTCCATCTCTCCGGCTGTCCGTCTCTCCGGCTGTCCATCTCTCCGGCTGTCCGGCTGTCCATCTGTCCGTGCCGCTGCTCCGGCCCCGGGGCTGAGGCCGGACGCGCTCAGCGCACATGGCCACGCCCCCTCGTCACCACGCCCAATTACAGGCCACGCCCCCGCCCGCTCCGTCTCCGGCCCCGCCCCCCGCCGTCCATCCCGCCATGGCGTCCGCCGGCGGCCCGGACGCGGAGCGGCCGCACCCCAAGCCCTTCCTCATCGGCGTCAGCGGCGGCACCGCCAGCGGCAAGGTGAGCCCGCCGTGCCGGGGCCCGCCCTCGGCAGCCCGCGCGGCGCGGGACCTGCGCGGCGCCCGCAGGGGCATCGCCGGTCCGGCCCCGGGCGGAGGGCGGGCTGGGGGCCGGGCCGCGCCGGGCGCCGCGGGGAGGGTCGGGGTTCCCCCGGCCCGCCTGAGCCCCCGTCCCGCTCAGTCCACAGTGTGCGAGAAGATCATGGAGCTGCTGGGGCAGAACGAGGTGGAGCAGCGGCAGCGCAAGGTGCTGATCCTCAGCCAGGACAGCTTCTACAAGGTGCTGACGGCCGAGCAGCAGGCCAAGGCGCTGAAGGGACAGTACAACTTCGACCACCCGGGTGAGCCGCACACCGGCCCGGCCCCTGCGGGGCTCGGTCCGTGCTTGGAGAGCAGCTGGGGCTCAGGGGAAGCACCTGTAGGAAATGGGAAGTGTTGGAGGACAGTAATGTGCTTTCCCCCACCAGAACATCCATTTGTCTTTCCCTTGTGCCCGTTGTTACTGATGAGCTGTGGAGGGGTGCAGAGCATCCCAGCCTGCTCCCTGCTGCACTCCCTGCTCTTGAGAGGTTCCTTAATGAACCACATCATTCCCCAAATCCTTTCCTGTTACTTCTTGTCCACACAAACAGCTGCTCCCCTTGCCCGGGGGAGTGCTGTGGATTGTAGGCGGGACAGGGAGCTGCCCTTGGCTGAAGTCTGGTGCCTCTTGGGTGGGTAATGGAAACCATGAAAGATGCCTGGGGTTTTCCAGTTGGCTCCTGACTAACAGCTGAACAAAGCTGCACAAAATTATGCAATTACTAAGCAGGTTGATAAAATTATAAAATTACCAGCTTCACCTTTGAGCTCTTCATTTCATTGTGTTGTAGTTGCTTGTGAAGAGCAAACTGTCTCTTCCTTATCTCTGAAACCAAACACAGCCATTGTCACTTGGGCTGAGAGTGCTGTGTTGCTAGTGGTAGGAAAGAATAGGCTGCAAGTTCCTTTTTTCCTGGTGAAATACTGGTCAGAGGATTTTTCCTTTAGGTCTGGAAAAATCTGAGCAGGTCATTTGATACAGCAGCGTCTGAAAGTCCTTCTCTTTGAACTTTCCTCTCGCAGATGCCTTTGATAACGATTTGATGCATTCAACCCTGAAAAACATCGTTGAGGGCAAAACGGTTGAGGTGCCAACGTACGACTTCGTGACACATTCTAGGTAGGCTCTGCCTTTGTCCAAAGTCCTGCGTTGTGTGGGGGTGTCCCCAGCCCGGGGACAGTTCCCTTGGTGGTGGCACGAGGCCCGTTTAACAGGCTCTGGGTGTTCTCTCCCGGCAGGCTGGCAGAGACGACGGTGGTGTATCCTGCTGACGTTGTCCTCTTTGAGGGCATCCTGGTTTTCTACAACCAGGACATTCGGGACATGTTCCACCTGCGTCTCTTTGTGGACACGGACTCTGACGTCCGGCTGTCCCGCAGAGGTAGAGCCCCGCCGTGCCCCTGCTCCTTATCCGTCCCCACCATGGGACAGCACTCAGGGCTTTTATCTCCCCGCCCCAGTTCTGCGAGATATGAAGCGTGGGAGGGACCTGGAGCAGATCCTCACCCAGTACACCACGTTTGTCAAGCCTGCCTTTGAGGAGTTCTGCTTACCGGTACGAAGCCTCTCACTGATTTCATTTGTGGGGTCTTCTTTTTTTTGGGAGGGGTAGAGGAGCAGGGTTGTTTGGGATTTAGCTGCTGTAAGGGCAGCAGTGGTGACTTTTGGTATTTGTATTTCACAAATCCCACGTTCTCTGCCTCATGTCTTCAACTATTTCAAGCTGGTTGTTAAGGAACTGAAATGGTCCCTTCTGCTGGCAAAGCACCATGGAAATGCCTCATTGCTGGCTGCTGGGGCTATTTAAGTATGGGTCTCTCTGAATGAAAGACTCCCACTCTCAGTTTATTCTTAAGCCTTGTAGGAAGAAAGAAAAGCTTGGTTTCCATCAGCCTTTCTCAAAGGGAACACTGGGCAGACCATTCTAGCTCTGCTTGCTACACCATGTAGTGTGAGGCCAATTTAGGTACTCAAATAATCAAATTAATTTGTAAAAAACCCTTTGAGAACAAAATCCTGTATGTGGATTAAATAAATTGGAAAAGGCTAGCTCAGATGCCTCTTGCTCTAGATCAAAGGAATTCCGGGATTCTAAAACTACTCATTAGAAATGCTGAATTTGCCAGCTTTTTTTCAGCTGTGGGGGGAAAGAAAAAGCAGGAGTGCTGTGGTGGTAAAGATCAATGAAATGTTATCAGAGGCAGGCAGGAATTTCACATGCACATTGGATACCTTGGCTCTCAGCAGAGATTTAGCAATGGCTTGCGAAATGCTGATTAAAACCAGCTCTTGGCAAAACAGACCTTGCCTGACGAGGGCAATGTTTGAAGGCAGCTCAAATGGGTAAAAGCAAAGGACTCCACACCTGAGCTGCTGTTTTTACCTGGTGATTCTCTGCAAAGGGACAGTAAGAAGAATCCCTGAGCTTAAATCCAGTGCACATTTACCAGTGTGATACTGGAATTGAATTGGAATGAGAGAGAGAGCTTTAACTTACAGCCCTGGAGCACCCAGGACCTTCCATCTTTGCCCAGTTTTCTGGCCTTTGCTTGTTTCTTCCTGGAATGAAGCTGACTTTTCCCATTAACAGCCTCCTCTACCACTGTTTCTGTTTTGCAGACAAAGAAGTATGCGGATGTGATCATCCCCAGAGGCGTTGACAACATGGGTAAAAGGGAGTTGGGTTCCTGATTTCCCTGGGAAGACACCTTTGGGGTTGGGAATAGAGCAGGAGGCAGCCTGCTGCCTGGAGTGCCTGCTCCTGAGGAGGGGGTTTTTGCTGGAGGGGAGGGAGCTGCTGAGCCTGGCCAGAAGGACCAGCTGCTCAGCCTGTGGAGGGCTGGACAAGTGACCTGTTGAGGTCTGACCTCAGTGCAGACAGCAGGCAGAGTTTCATTGAGGGGCTTGTTAAAACTTGAGGAGCAGAGCTGGATGCTCCACATTTTCTAGATAACTCAACCAGGAGATCCTTCATGTGCTCTATTCCCCGTTCCTCTCTGCAGTTGCCATAAACCTCATCGTGCAGCACATTCAGGACATCCTGAACGGGGACATCTGCAAGTGGCAGCGGGGGGCTCTGAACGGGCACGGCCGCACCTACAAGCGGCCGTTCCCGGAGCAGGCGGAGAGCGCCGCTGTCCTGGCGGCCGGCAAGCGCTCCCACCTCGAGTCCAGCAGCCGCCCGCACTAGCCCGGCACGGCCCCAGGGTTTGCCTCTGGTCCACACCAACACTGAAGACAACTTTGGGAAAGGACTGCCACGGAATGGTTGGTGAAGTGCCCCTTAAGTCGTGCTGGCAGCGGAGGGGATCCTGGTGGGGATCTTCTCACAGAGGGGAGAGGAAGGGGTTGGCATTCCATCCCGCTTCCCTCCAAACCCCTCCCTGTTCTCTCTGAGATGTCTGGAGTTGTTACTTGGTGAACTGGTTAAAGGCAGTGTTACTTGCCTTTTTTTAATTTTCAGAATGAGATCTAATGCTGAAGATTCCCCTGAAAATTAAGCACTATCAGGTGACTGGCAAGATACCCCATTTCCCTGATGATGGCTGTCTGTAGCAGGAAAATCATCTGCCTCTTGGGGGTTTTTCTCTCTCTCCAAGACTAGCTCACATGCTGTTAATTTTAACAGGCTCCTACTCTTCTCCACCTTGTTGGCACCTTGAGTTGTGGCCATGCTCTGCTGCTGGCCAGCCTCCTTCTAGCCTGTGGGGTCAGAGGGACTGACCTGCAAAGGCACCTCTCCCTTGGGACAGGGGTGAGACAGAGACTGACTGGGACACGTGGGAACTTGCAGTTCACCAGGGGACAGGCCCAAGAAGTTTAGTGGTTCTAGTGATTCCTAATTTATTCCTTTCCAAGCTCCTGGATCGTGCTACACTGTTTGGTTATTTTTTGTACCCAGCGTGCTTTACCACAGTTACTGAACGTGTGAGCTCCAGCTGGATTGAGTCGCTCATGGAAACAGAAACCTGACCTTGTCAGTATTAGTGTCTTTTAGTGCATTTCTGTACTGCTGGTTGCAAATTCTGCTGGGCAGAATCCGTCCACTTCCAGAGATGGCTGGTGAGGTCAGCAAGGGGGGAAACTGGGAATTGCAGGACCTTCCTCCTGCTGGCACAGGCAGCTGCCTGGACACCCTCAGACAGGGTCAGAGCACTTGCCTTGCACTCCAGCAGCTTCAACTCAAGAATGTCTGGCTTTCTAAAAAGAGCAGACAAGAAGTACAAACAGTGATATCCCAGTTTCTGTAGTTTACCCCAGATAAGTGATACTGCAGCAGCATGAAGTGTCTGTTTGGAAAAAACTGCAATGAAGTGCTGGTTGGACCTTTGAAAATGTCCTTGTGATACTGTTCTTGAGTCTGGACTTTAGGTGTAATTTTGAGAATGAGGGTGGGAGGGAAATGTTACTAAGAGGAACTTTTTCATATTTGCTAATTTTCTAAAAGCAGGGCTTGGCTGTGTTGGTTGTGGGTGTGTTACTTTGGCTAATAAATAAATGAACAGTGATCAGAAATGACCATTTTTATAAAAGGTAATTCTGGTACATTCACTGTGCCAGCAGAAAGGCACACTGCTGGAGGGGCTCTTATACTCAACAGTTCTTTCTCTCCTTAACTCAGAATTGTTACCTTTGGTTCTGTTGTGGCTGAAAATTTAGAGAAAATAACCCCAAACTTAAGAAATGGAGTCTGCACTTCCATCCCTATCGTCTTTTCAGCCTTGGAAAGGGGTGAAGGTTTGGTGTCTCAGTGATAGTTCAGTGGTACTTCTGCAGTGCCCAGGAGAAGGCAGAGCATTTCCTGACTGCTGCTGGGTGCTGTCTAGCTCAGGGTGACAGAGTTAGAGCATGAGCTACTGCACTGAAGCATTAGCTCTCAGGGCTGATTCCAGTAGGAGCAAAATAGTCACTAAAACCTACTTTGAATGACTGTGGTGTTGGATCATACCTTCCTCGGGGGATGGGGGAGCCTTGAATAGAATTTTTTATAGCAGTGAGGAACTGCACAGCCCCTGGGGTGTGGGAATGCTGCTCTGGCAGCTTTGTGCTGCCCTGCAGGACCTGCTGCTGCAGCCACGTGGAGATACAGCAATGGAATGTGGCCCAGGTACCACAGCCCTGCCCAGACACCTGGACAGAGCCATCACAAATTCCCCACTGAGTCCCCAGTGCTTCACCTTTGCCTTCTTCTCTGTGAATTCTCTGCTGGTGCAGGCCAGGCCATGGGCTGGGTTTCAGTGTTTTCACCCTGAGCCCATGTGCACAAGCTGGAGCAGGTTTCCTTGTCAGCAGGATCAGTCCTACCCTGCCCAGAGTTCCTTTTCCCATGGGATGTGAGGTGTAATGGCAATACTGCCAGTGCTGGTAGCAGGCCTCAGGCTTCACATTAGTGCCACAAGGCCAAAGGATTATTCTGGCTTTGGCTCAATTCCTGGCTTGCCTGAAGCCTTCTTTAGCTGTAACAGCAATTTTTAATGTCTTTTTATTTTGCTTATCTTCTTAAAAGTGATGCTTATGTCAGATGATTATAAATAGATAATAGTAACAAGTCATTATTCTATGCAGAATGAACTATTTATAAATGTAGCTTAATGCTGTATTTACATAAATAGAAATGATAGCAGAGCATTGGAAGTTGGGGGCAAATAATGCATTGTTGAGGAATAGAGTCATGGAATGATGCTGTAAGGCTGCAGGGCCAGTTACTGATTGTTAAAGATGAGCAAGCTTTAGAGAGGGAAAACCTGGATTTCAGAAATAAAGAAAACAGAAAAAAAAGTATCTGATGTGTTGGAGAGAGTCCATTTATAGTAAGTATATAATGGAATTGTAGACCACAGTGATAGGAAACACATGAAATAGCCCTAAGTGCAATGGAGTGCCAGAAGGAAGAAACCACCACTGTATTTCCAGGAAAGAGAAGAAATTGTTGCAGCTCTTCCCAGCAAAGGAGCTGGGATGCTGTTGACTGAAGTCAGTGACCTTCACACCCTGAGGGGCAGTGAGGGGTGAATGTAAGAGGGGCAGAAGCTGGGAGCTGTGCTCATAACAGCTGTATTACTGTTGAGTCCTTTTCTGTAACAGCGTTCCTTTATTTTCTCCTGTAATCATTAGATCTTGACTACTACAAAATACCTGAAGTGACTGTTAAGATTTCCATGATTCTAACAATAAATTCTTGGCTTTGCACAAGAGGTGTTTCCCTTCGCTGTAGGCAGGCTGGAGTGGTCACTGCTTTCGGATCAGGATGTTCCAGGTGTCCTTCCAGCGCAGGGCCTTGAGCTCGGTGAGGGACAGCGCAGGCTGCCCGTAGGTCACGGGGCTGAAGGTGCAGTACACAAAGTACACCGAGGAGAACCAGGCTACAACCAGGGCACTGAACATGCTCCTGAGCAGCACAGATCTGCGATCAGAGAGGGAAAAAGCACTCAAGTTACATCAAGGCTGGCCAAACACTTCATCCAAAAGACCTGTGCCTGGCCTGGCTTCTCTAAAGGCAAACGACAGAGTTTGGCCACTGCTGGAAAAGCCACTGCTTTCCCTGCAGCAGCTTGTCCAGGAGACAGCCCTGGAGAAAGAACTGTGCCAGTCCTGTTCAAAAGAACTATTCTGCTGAAGCCAAATACCTGCAGAGATGATCGCTGAGATGCTGCAGTACCACAGGAATCAGGAGAATCTGGAATGTGACAGCAGGCAGGTAGTGGTACAGGAAAAGGGTTTTCTCCATCAGGAAGAAGGGCAGGTAATTCACAGCCCAGCCTCCACCACAAATGCCTCCCGCTGACATCCAGAGCTGCCAGGCATCTGCAGGAGACAGGAGATGGCACCTGAGAGCAGAGCAAGGCACAAGCCTCCACCTGGGCACACACAGAGTGCAGTCAGACCTTCAGGGATGTCGTAGATCTTCCTCCTTCGGCGCAGCAAGTACCACAGGGACAGACACAGGTAAACCAGAGCAGCAGCATTAGCTGAAACCCAGGTGGCAACATTCCCAAGGAGGTGGATCTGGGCCTGCAGGACAGATGATGGTCTAAGCCAGGAGCAGGAATATGCTGTGGTTCTTTTCTTTTCACAAACTTGCTAAATTAAGCCCCAGAATGAGCCTGCCTAGTAACCTGGAACAAAGCTGGTTGATAAACTTTGCTGCTTTAGGACTCTTGTGTAATGGAAAGCATTTAAAGGATGCTATTGGAGATGAACTCATCTTCTAAATGAAATCAATAATGGAAACTACTAAACTGCAATTTACCTTAAAAAAAAAAAAAGCACAAGCAAACATGATTTAATTAAAAGCAACTACTGTCAAAGCTGTATCTCATGCTAAAACAAATACCTCACCCCTCACGGAAAAGATATTAATACAGGAAAAGTCCTTGGCTGGAAGCTGCAGCCCTGCTCTGACTCCTACTCCTGGGGCTCACATCTGAGCTGTTCTGCTTTCTCAACAGCTTCACAGCTGCTTCTTCATCTTGTGCTTACCCCTGAGGTGGGGTGGAGCCAGTAGGCAATATTGGTGTCCATTGTGATCCAGTCCAGGGCAGAGGAGCTGTACTTGTGTTCTGTGTCTTCATTTTTTAATGTGAGTATTTTCCACTAGGAATAAAAAAAGGTAAGCAAAGGCTTTCAGAATTGGAACAACAGGTGGGACAGCAGGCATGGGTGAACAGCTCCAGATGTAAGACAGTAAGTTCCTAAGCTGGGAGTGGAGAAATATTTTACATATCTCATATGGATACTGATCAATACAATTTTTAAATTCTGTTATTAAATAATGCACTTAATGGATTTCTACAAAGATAGTAAGGGGTATCACCACTACTCACTGCATGTACCACATATTACAGTTCAGTTTCAGGCAGCTTCTGGGTGCCCAACCAATTTTCCTCCCCCTTTTTTGTTACACAATCACTTGGGTATTCATTACTGGACAGCCCAGGTCTTTAATGCCCTTATAAGTGCATTCAGAAACATTTTTTTACAGTGAGGAAGCCAAACTATCAGCAAGGATTAAACAATGAATCCTCAGGCTCAGAGTCTGCAGAAATGCTCAGGTTCCTGCTCTGCAGCAGAAGGAAAAATGAATGGAATAACAAGACACTCACCTGCAATTCTGTGAACTTTGCCATGAAGCTGAGGTTTTTACTGATGTCCATCTGTGTGGGAGAGTGGAGTTCCACTTCCCTCTCTTTTTGTTCTTGGCCTGGAAGAAAACAGCAAAGATCAGAAATAAGCACATAACAGGCAGAAAGCTAAAAAGGGGAGAGAGCACCCAGGCTCCTCACTGTCCCAGGAGCCCTTCTGCAACACATCATCCAACTGCAACAGCACTTGAAGGGACTTTGTAAGGACTCTGACTCCATGGTAAAGCCAACTGAGCACACACACACAGTACCACCTTCCCACCACCAGGAAGTGAAACCTGCTTCAGGAATATGGCTGAGACATACTTTTCCCATATCTGTGCTCCTCCACATTCCACACCATGCTCTGGTGGTAGCCTTTGGACAGCTTCTCTCCAACCACCTCCAGCTGCCGGTATCCCCACTCAGGCAGAGATGCTCCACTGAGCTGAAAGAGAAAGACAACAGTGAACTTTTAAATGCAAAGTTCTACCAATCTGAACTTCAGGCTCTGCCTGAGCACTGGATGACAGCAAGGGACTGCCAGAAAATGTGTGAACAGTCACCACACAAAACTCTCAATAAATGCTACAGTCATAAAATCAGTGATTCTGGCAAACTTTGTGAAGAAAAAGATCCTTAATTATTCCAGCTGCTCTCACAGGCACCCAGACTCTGCATCAGTGTGTAAGCCCCAGTTGTGTAGAGTGGTCACAGCCTCTTGAGAAGCAGGACAGCTTTGATACTGACAGGGATGAAGTACCAGTGTGGCAACCCGAAACATGCTCTTTTGTCACACTGAGCAGTTGTTTCTTTTAATTTACTTACTTGGTTATTCGTTATAGTGGTGCAGCTATTTTGAAGCAGAGTTTTTGAGATTACAAGAACTGCATGAAGCAAAATCTCCAGGCAAATAAACATAACCCCACTTGCCTTTAGCACTGCAGAGGTGTTCAGGTGAACAAACCTCACTTCTGACAGAATTGTCTTCCAGACATCCGTGTCAGACTCGCGATTTACAATTTCCTACAACAGAAAGATTATTTTGATCCATGTTGTCTCAGCTGTTTCTGCTGGAGCGTGATCAGCTCCTCCCCTCCCTCTGACCACTCACCACTCTCCAGAGGTTCTGTGCTGGCATGGAGATGTTATAATCGATATAGCAGGAAACTTCTTGGGAGTGGGGGCTAAGAGGAGCAGCAACATCATGCCTAGAAGACAAATAAAGGAAGGTCCTCCACCACCATTTCCCAAATACATATAAAAAGCAAACCCATATGGAATTGGCTTAGACTGGGTTCAGTAATGAAGCAAAAAGTAACTCACTTAGCAGGATTGCACTGTTTACTCTGAGAGAGAGCATTCCCCACAACCAAGAGCTGCCAGGAACAGGCTCAGAGGAAGCCAGTGCAGATGCCTGTGATGCCAGGCTGAAGAACAAGCACTGATTGTGACAAACAGAGACGCTGTTCACTGGGGTTTCCAATAATGAACAAATTAGATTTGGAAGGGACATAGCAAAAACCCAAGCTCAGAACAACCCCCTTCCTAATCTGAGGGATATTCAAGTACACACAGATGCCCTCTGGGAAGCAGTCAGGAGGCAACTTCATACTGCAGGCTTTCAAAACAGGCAAGAATCTCTGGCAATCAGCCACAGCACACCGGATTCTCCAGCACATCTTTCCAATTTCCAGAGCACGTCCTTCAGGTAGGAGCATGCCATCAAAGTCAGTGGAGTTGGATTTGGGTTAAGTCACACAAAATACTGAATACCTGCACCTGTCCAGAGTGGGGGCAATGAAAGGGTGACGATGAAGACTGACAGAGGGGACTCTGTACTTAGGAATCTACAGAACTACCATGAAATGTGAACAACTGTGAAATCCTCTAAAGGCCACTAGTAGGGAAGAACAGAAGCAGTAAGCAACTATTAAGAAGTTTGTGATTAGGATCACATCCCACTGCCAAGTCAATCAGAAAAAATAAATAAGCATACAGCATCCTTCCTCTGGGCCACAGGGATGGCATATGGAACTAACCACATGAGGTCCCTCCAAGGCTCACTGGTGTAAAATCCAAAATAACAGGCATTATGGCATATCTGAATGCAAGGTCACTTATTCTGAGAGCCAACCCAGCAGAATGAGGCAGCAGGCTTGGCAGAGCAGAGCACGAGGAAAGGACTTACGTGTTGAGGTAGCGAGTTGTGATGCCGTGGACCAGCTGCACGATGTGCCCGTGCCTGACAGGCCGTGGGGGGTTACTCACCACCAGCTGCTGCCTGGGGAAGGGACACCCAAGAGCAAATGGTTAAATTGGAAATGGTTAAATTATATGCATCTCTATATATACCACAATCTTGTCATGACCAAGTTGTTAGGTCAAGAAGCTGCAGGCGGGGACAGACATTTGGGCAAGAAAATGAGAAATTAAAGCAATATATAGGTCGTACCAGAATGGAAACAAAGCTCATCAAGGCAAAGGTGAGTTAAGGGCAGAATGAGTCAGAGGATCAGTAATGGGATACTGACACTCCAGGCATTAGGTCAGTGGTCTGAATCCAGGTCAGTCAGGAGTGAATTAAGGTTATTACTGTCACACAGCTGTTTGGTGGCTTGTGTGAAACACTGAGTGCTTCACTGAGTCTGATGGGTGCTGCACTACAGCTGGTGTCACTTTGGCAGAATTATAGGAGATCAATGGCTTTTGCACCTTATAAACTCTCACCTGGCTTCTGGACAGGGCCATGGCAAGGGGGAACTGCAATTCACTGAACTCCTGCCTGTATTTTACTGTTCCATAGAAGAACTTCACATCCTCCAATGCTCACAGGAGTCCTCTGAGTTTGAAGAATTTTAAGAATATATTTGGGGTCTGTGGTTCTGTTAGAGTCCCTGCTTGAAAGGTTTGCACCATGGACAAACTCTCCCAATGTGGAGACAACCTCTAATGGCACACAGTCCTTCTGATAGGACTCTTTATACAGTTCTCAGAACAACATAAGAAACCTACAAAAGCAACTTTTTGATCAGTATGAAATTACGTCACTTAAAGGGTTTTACTGGCAAAACAAGGACAGAGAGTCCTGCTCTGAACTGACAGTGACAATGGCAAAACACTTCAGCACAAACCAGGCCCCAGGTACAGGCACCACTTGGAATCCTTCCCTATGTGGCAGATCTTACAGCTCATGCCATACTTCTAATACAAAGAACTACTCATTTTTCAAAAGTGTTTTCTGCTCTTTTCTGAGACTCATTCAAGTTTGATAAAACTCATCAAGACACTCTAACACCATGGCTCACACTTCAAAAAGCAGAGCTTCCCTTTCATGCAAAACACCTGAAGAATCTCCAATAGTCTTGTGAGTCTTTCAAGTTCCACTTGTGCACAGCATAGCCCATGTTCTGGCAGCAGCAGTTCAGACAGGATTTTAGAGCCCTCAGTAATGCTTTTACCACATTGAGAAGGATTGTGCAAAGAGCTGCAATCACTTGCTCAGATCACAGCAGGCTTCTGCACCCATAAGCAGAGAAGAGTTATGTCCAATCCTATCCAAGCCCTGGTTGGGTTTTGGAAGCATACAGGTTGAATTTAAATCTCTTGCATACTCACATTCCAGGATCTTTGACAATCCACCAGTTGTTCACATCCTTGAAGGGATAGCAGGTCACCTGCTGCTGATGGGAACTCCCTCGGCCATTCTCATACCTGCACAGGAAGTAAGAAAACCCCACAGAGGTGTAAAGGCACATCTCTGTGCTCACCAGTGCCAACATTACTGTAATGGGAATCACTGATCATTCCCACAGAGCACAGGGACTCTGAAGGATCAATCAAGACACTGCCAGGACCCAAATTGCTACACATGGACTGGCAGATGAAGAAGCAGAGCTGACCCTCCCCACAGAGACCCAGGCACATTGCTCACCTGATGGGGTAAGTGTTGGTGTGAGAGTGGAGCCAGCACTGCATGGGCTTGCCCAGCACGTTCCGCAGGGTGATCTGAGAGCCATAGGCCACCTCTAAGGGCTGACCCTGAGTGATCCGAGCCAGCCCACCCTGAGAAGGGTAAGGACAGGGTAAGTACAAAGAAGAAACAACCCAGAGGCTGTTTAAATTCTATTGAATCACATCCCACTTCAACACAGCAGTATCTTCACACAGCGCCTTCTCATTTGGTTTTATCTACCAAAATCAAGTCTTGCAGCACCATACTCAATAGATAGTAAATACACCAACACCTAAAAAACTAAAAGACTACAGGGTCTCAGGAAATATCCCTAAAGCCATACACTAAAAGACAGGCTAAGCACTCCTATAGTATACCATGTCACCACATGAGAGTTCAGTACTGTATCTACTCCTGTGGAGTTTCCCATAGGAAGGGACAAACCTTCAGCAGAAGAGTGAATATATTGTTCTTGCTTCATTGGGAAAAGGTTTTAATCTGTTATTAGGATTTCAGTCATTATTGCTTCATCTTAAATCAGTACTACAGCAGCAAAATAGTTAAATGACATAAAAGGGGCAAAATATGCAGGATCAAAGGAACAGGATTAAACACCATGTAAGAGTGAACATTTTCCCCTCTTCTCTCCAATAAATCAGTTCCAAGACCACATTTCCTTTACCTCTAGGCTGGCTTGGAAAGCACTTGTCATGATCTGGTCGTGAGGCCCAGAGCGATACAGCAAAGCCAAGTGAACGTAGAAGAAGGAGAGGTACAGCCCCATGGGGATGATGATGAGGGCCAGACCCCGGGCTAGAAAATGGCACAGCAAGGAAACCTAGAAGAACAAAGAAAGCTCACTTGTTTCATGCTCTAGATGTTAAAAATTCCAGAGCACTTTGTTTGTTTTGTTTGTATTTTCTAAGTTTTCCCCACTGATGTCATTCAGCTGTAACTTTGTGGACAACTGGGTAACTTCCAGCAAGGATTTGAAGTGGAGCTGGCAGGAGTGTGTGAGACAAGTGTATGTTCTGAGTCACACATCACCAAGTCATGGATAACAGCAGAAAAGACAGTCACACATGCATATTTTTCTTAAACTTAATTCCATCTTCCCCAGCAACTGAGCTGGGAACTGTACTATGACAGGAGGGTTTCCAGACAAGGAATTTTAGTACAAAAGCCAGCTACAGACTGCACTGTTATCTGTGGGCTTAAAAGGCTCCTGCAATGAAAAGTGACAAATAATATCTTTTGCATGCTGTTCTACATACATTTGACAAGGTCTGGTCTCCTATCATGTGCCAGAAGTGGAGTCCTGCAGTGGCCAAGAGCAGCATATAGGTAAACAGGCCCATGTATTTCACTCTGAAAGTGCATAAAAAATGAACATGGTTAAAAACTACACAATTACCTAATACAAGATATAAATATTCTAACATTCTGTTGAACAGCAGGCATTAAAGTCCAGGTAAGACATCATCACTTACCCAACTGCACAAGAACAGGCTACTCCAGTCAGCAGGAGCCAAAACCACCAGCTTCCAGAGAAGGCACTTAAAGATAAATGTATTAAATCACTTGCTACGCTCAATTTAAAGATAATTTTACTTCACTAAGGATTACTTCATCCTCTGCAAGGATCAGAGAACAAAAGAAACAAATATCTCTCAAAAAGGAACAAATACAGTGCCTGTAAACAGTTACAAAGGAGAATTAAGTGGCCTGTTATCATCAGTGTTTCTGTGCACAGAAGGAAACATTCCAGTAAAAAATGTGGGTAGGCAAAGACATGCTCCCAAGAGATTTCATTTATGTTTTAAAATTAAAAAAGACAACCCTGCAATCCTGCCAACAGTAAAAACAGTCTTTAACACTGCTCAGGAGAAAAATTCTGGGGCAGCCATATGAGAGGGTGAAGCATTGGATTTTACAGACAGGTGAAGTGAGTTTGAGGATGATTAAGAGGCATAGAAAAACACAGTCTGTGAGAAAAAAAAAAAAAATAAAGTCACCATGAGAATATCCAAAAGGGTGGGAGACAATCCAGCTTTACCTGTGCTTTTGCAAATTGTAGAACTTCAGGTAGGACAAAACTGCAAGCAGGATAAAAAAAATCAGTATTGATTCCAGAAGCATGAACCTTGATTGAGTGATCAGAGAGTTCTCTGTTGGAAAAGAGAAACAGACACAAAATTAGAGAAACCTGTCTATAGGCAAGTGCTACCTCAGACAATCACACTGTTATCCAACAGAGGGACCTTCCCTTTTAGGAACAGACAGCTCCTACTGGCTGTAATGGGCAAGTGCTGGGTTTAGAGGGACAAAATCTTTCCAGCAGGAGCAAATTACATGGACATAACTGTTTCCAAGACAAAGAGGTGAGCAAGCAGTGAAGTCTATCAGGAGGCAGATAAAGCTTCTGCACTTCCTACCAAGGCAAAGAAAATCAGTCCTGGGAACTCCAGAGAGCTGCTTCTCAAAGCAAAGAGTCCAGGCAGCAAGGACAGCAAGCAATGAGCACCACAACAGATCTGCAGGAAAGGAAGCTGCAGTGAGCCAGAACCAGAGCAGCCGGTAGCTAGGAGAGGTTTCTCTTATCAGGCTGCTAAAGAGCTGCTGAGAGGCTCTTTCCCTTTCAGGCAGCTGCCAGCAGCCCCTCAGAGAAAACAAAACCAGCTGAGTTGTACACACCAGAACAGTGTCAAATCACAGTGCTAAGGACACAGGCTGGTTTGCTGCAGCTTGGAGATGAAAACATTTGATGAGCTCTGACTGCAGTTGAGTTGTCCAGCTGTTAAAAGCCAGTAAGTTGTAACTCATCCTGTAAACCTCTGAGGAAGGGAGTACAGGCCTCCTTGGATACAAAGAAATATGTTTTCCTGTGAGGCTGTTAAGGCTGCCTACTTAGGTTAATATTGAAAAGAACTTGTATAAAGCCCAGAAGGGCAGTCTGCTGCAGAGCTGTGAGGATGGAGGAGACCAGGGAGGCTCAGCACAGACTGACACAGGCCAGGGCTGTTGATGTTTTCTGGGGAGATGCTACTCCACCCCAAACATTCCTAAGGGGAAAAGGGACTCTTCTCCCCATGTATGAAGAATAGGGCTCAGTTGAACAATCTTACCCAAGAGAATCAGAAGAGCAGCTCCAAGTGCAGCACAGTGGGAGAAGTGCAGTTCAACCAAAATCTGGTAGGCTAAAGGCACACAGAGAGCACCAGCCAGGGCTGGCAGGAGTCGCAGGGACCACACAGGAACATTCATGCTGTATTCTGAAACAGAAAACAGGAAACAATGACCCACCAGACTTAACTGCAGTGAGGACAGACCAATAAAGAATTTCTTAATTGTCAGAGGAATCTAACTTCTACTTGCACTGATTTGTCCATCTTGTATTGCTTAAACTGTTCAGCTGATTTAGAAAGCCTGTGTTATGAATTCATAGTGCTTTTAACTTGTGCTAGAGACCTGCAGAAGAATTATTTTAAAAGAGAAGTGAAGGTGTTGGAAAAGTGTTATTTCCACTAGACAGGCAAAAGGAATCTGAAATTCTGCTTATTTTCTCTAAAGAACGAGACAGTTAAAAACAACTCTTACCAGCTCCAATCCTGTTCCAGAGGAAGTTTCCATCAAATCCTCCTAAGTAACCTACAACATAAACAAGAGTTTTTCCAGTCTCAAAGCACGTATAAAACCTGGTGCTAAATTGGGAACCATTTCCCAAACACACAGCTTTTCCTTGCATGAAGGTCCTCTTTCCCAAAAGGGTCCTCTTTGATACTCTTCTGTCTGCAGCAATACTTGACAATGTGAAGAGGCACAAAAACTATAAATTGGGAACAAGGGATTCTCAGTGACAAAGTCAGATGTATATTTAATCCCTCCCTCCCATACAGACACTTTGATGTTGTGGTATCTCAGCTACAGAAAGGAGGCTATTTCTTGCACTAGCACTTCTCATCTTACTTTTCTCTTTATCCAAAGGATTGGATAACAGTGAGGTGATGGATACATGGCTTCATCATCCATCCTCTATTCATGCAACACCCCCTAACAATCCTAAATAAAAGAAAACTCAGTTCTCTCTACATCAGAGTCCCTCACCTGCCTTGTGCTTTCCCCCATAAGTGGATTTAATAATTCATTTCTAACCAGCACCTCTCTCTTGCACAGCAACAAGCAACAGGCACTTCCCAGTTCCAGGAGACCCTACCTCCCAAGGCCAGCAGCATGTGGCCAAAGGGTGGGCCACTGTCATCCACAAAGAAGATCCTCTTCATGTAGAGTGAAACAAATTGGCCATAATAAACTTCATCGAAACTGAAACACCAGAGGCAGAAAAATGTCAAATCTAACAGCAATTATCCTGCAGGGATACTCAGAAAGCAAACACCAACTTGTTGGCAGAAAGCTAAGAATGCAAGGCAGCACTGAGGCTTTGCCCCTTCTCCTCAGGGGGTTTTATTAGGGAAAGATTATCACTGTACTGGCATTGTTCAGCCTGGAAAAGAGAAGGCCCACAGGGGTGGCCTAATTGTGGCATTGTGGTAGCTGAAGGGAGCCTACAGGAAAGATGGGATGAGACTGTAAGAGCCTGGATGGCAGGACAAGGGGAATGGCTTCACTCTGACAGAGAGTGGGGTGAGATGAATTTTAGGGAAGAATTCTTCCCTGTGAGGGTGGGCAGGCCCTGTCACAGAGTGCCCAGAGAAGCTGTGCTTGCCCCTGGATCCCTGGAAGTGTCCAAGGCCAGGATGGAGCCCCTGGGATAGTGGAAGGGGGGCAGAATAAAATGAGCTTTAAGATCCCTTCCAACCCAAACCAGTCTGGGATTTTGTGATTCTGTAATTTACAGAGGCTGACATCAGTCAAGCTGTGCTCTTCTGCTCCTGCATTCTTGCTCACAAATGTTTGAAAAACAAGTCTGTGTCACTCAGGAACAAAAGAAACTCATTACTCACACCACAGCCCGAGGATAGCAAAGCCCCCAGAGACGACTTATTAATCCCATCACAGTCAGTGCCACAAGGCTCACATTGATCTTCGCAGTGACCACAACTGGCTCCTTCAGGAATCCCAACATCCTGTCAAAGGTTTGTCTGACCCTTCAAAAGCAGAAGAGAACAGCAGTCACCCTTTGGCTCACAGAGAGCATCAAGCCTGATTTCTGCTACAAGCAGCTCATGGTAATTAATTTCCCAAAATTCTCTTGCTTTTCATGTTTTTGTGTTTCTATTCCATCTACAGGACTAGTTGTAAAAATAAAGTTACTGAACTGACACACTTTTCATCTGCCCTGCTTCTGCCTGCAGTAGTAAGCCAGAAACCCTGTTAATTCTTACACTGGTTCTGCAGGAACACAGCAGCTTCATTCTCCAGCCTGTATTCTGCTTTGAGCAAAGCAAACCTCACAGTCCAAACTCTGATGCTACTGATGGACAACCCATGTGCTCAGGCACCAGGTGACCCCACTACCTGAGCTATTTAGAGACCAGGTAGCTTAAAAACACCCCATCAAATAAGTTTCTTCCTTACAAATGGAGGTATTTTTTGGGAGTGGGGAAGGGAGGGGCAAATCTCCCAATGCCCTCTGCATTAGAAAGCTGCTTACTCTGGAGCACAGGTACAGGTGCTGTTTAAGCAGAGGTGCTAAAAGCTAGGTCAGAAAATAGCAGAGAAGCCGTGCCGTGCCTCCTCACCTCAACACAACGGAAAGTTACCAGAACAAATCCATCTGCGTGGCTTTGATCAGGGGAGAACAAAGCGAGATGCGAGCACATCCCCACCATCCAGAGCCGTGCCACTGGCCTGGTTTCTCTCTGCCTACAAAACACAAGCGCTGCATGGAGCTTTTCAGGAGCCCCTGGCAGAGCTGCGCTCCCACCCGGGCTCTGTCACCCCCTCGCAGGCCCTGCGAGCCCGGGAGCTCCTGATGGAGGCCCCGGGCCCAGGGCAGGTGAGCAGCAGCACCTCGGCTCCTCCTCGGGCGCCTCAAACCTCTGCACCCCTCATGAGGGGGGAGCAGTGCCAGCGTCCCCCACCCCGCCCTGTTCCCCCTTTAAGCTCTTGGGGGCACCACTGACCGCACAGGTGGCCCCCAGCGGGTCACTAAGCCCCACCACACACCCTGCATCCAGCCCTGGAGCCTCCCTTGGGTGTTTTTGGGGGGCAGAGGAGCACCAGCCCCCCCCGGAGCCTCGCCCATCGCCCTCAGCAGTACGGGGGTGAAGGGGGCGAGTGACCGACGGGACCGGGAACACGCCCGAGACCGCCACTAGGACCGGAATTGGGATCGGGGCTAGGACCGGGATCGAGCAAGAGGGGGATGGTGAGCAGCACCAGGACTAAGAGCGGGCCCAGGCTCGGCACTGAGACCGGGATCAGAGCGGGACCCCCGGCCCCACACGGGCCCGCGCGCCGGGGGGCGTGGCCTTCCCGCGCGCCGCGCTCCACCCGCCCCTACCTGGCGATGCCGGATGTGACGTCAGACACACGCAGCGGCACGGGGCGGAACCAGGAAGTGTTTCTATGGCAACGCCGTGTGTGGCGAACGGGCCCGGCCTCCCCGGCATGGCGGCTGTGAGGGACCCGCCAGCACCCGGGCTCATGGACATAACCACCGACCCGGGCCCTGGGGCTTTTGTGTTGTGTGTTTAGTTTGTGTCTGTTGGGCTTTTTTATGTGATTTTTTTAAAATAATTTTTTGGGGGGTGTTGTTTTTGTTTTGGGTTTTTTTTTTTTTGGGTTTTTTTTTGGATTTTTGGTTTTTTTTTAATTATTAACTAAAATAACCAGACAAGGGACTGGGGAATTTGAGAAAAGCATAATCTGCTTTATTTTTTTAATTTTTTTTTTATTTAAATAAGGAGAATTCTTTCATATGGAAAGAGCTAATACAATCACATATTTGAAAGGAGAAACAATAGGTACTGAAACGAGGAGAAGGGCAATAAAGAGTGTGCCACAACTGGCCTGGTGATTCCGTGATTCGAATTCCGGTCCGAGTTAAAGTTTCCAAAAAATATAAACAGGTTGCACGTTACACAATTATCCATCGTCTGCCCTTTCAAATATCTGGTCTACATGAAAAGACAAAGAGAGGAAAGGCCAAAAAAAATTTTACTATACAGGTCATGAAGTTAAAAGCTTTAAGGAGGACAATATCCCCTTGAGAAACAACAAATGCAATTTTTACAGAACCAGAGGGAGGATTCCAGCTAAGGACAGTGCCTCGAGACATGCTAAAGGGTGAGCGCCTCACTGCTGCAGCTGCGATTCCTGGGGGACAGTCAAGGACATCTGGAGCAGCCAGAACAAGCCACTAAACCCAAGGGAGTGTCTATGGCCACTGGAAAACCTGGTGGTCTTTGGGTGAAAATAAACTAAAATAGCTGGACTCTACTGTCTCTTTTTTGCTTCAGCAAAACACACCTTTTGTGTCCATGTGCCACAGCTAAGCACGCTGGTGGCTGCCGTAAATGAAATTTTATTCACAAATGCAACTTTTTAATGAAGAAACTGGGCTGCTGAATAAAAAATAACCAGTGCTACAAGGAATTAACCTGTGCTTAACCAGCCTGGAGCACAAGGGAGGGTTAAGAAAATGCAACAGAAGGAGGTCCTGGCATGCAGGGGTGCTGGCTGCAATGTCCGGTGCAGCCAAGAGAAGAGACACAGCAAAAACACTCAGCTCATCTGGAATACCTATCTATAGATACACAGGAACCACAGGGCAGCTTGTGGCTTTGCAGATTCCTGCAAGGAAGGTGTTGATGGAGTGAGTGCCTCTGTGAGAACACACACGGAGTGCAACGGGCAGCAAGCACATCCAGAGGTGCAGACACTGCACAGCTGGCACAGCCAGGAGCAAGCTATGGAACATCAACAGCAAGACCTGTGTCACTGGTGACTGTGCTGCTTCTGCTTGTCTTTTAAAATATACTGGAGTGCCTTTTTATTATATTACCCTTTGTTTTTTCTTCCCAGACTTGAATGTTGATTTGTTTTTAAATTAAGAGCTAACAGCAGAAGGGGTGAGGGCAGCAGCACCGACTGGAGCTGCTGGCCATGACTCACTGTGGGACAGGGAACTGATCTCACAGGTGCTTCAGACCCTCTGCTGAACCAGGGCAGCAGTCAGCCTCTGAACATTCCTGCTTGCTGCTGGAAAGATGGGATCCACCTTTCCCAGCAGAAGAAGACTGCAGTTTGATAGCTGACTTCCAGTCAAAGCAAAAGCAACTCACAAAGGAATAAATCAGCAATAAATCAACCCTTCAACAGTGCAGGCAGCAAGCAGAAGGACCCTCTAGCTATACTGACACATTCTGTGCACCTCTATCCCCCCCTCCATGCTGGATTTTTATCAGCATTCCAGCTCCCTTGGCTTTTCTGCTCCTTTGAGGATCAGAGGCTTTTTCTTTTGACTCCAGAGCACCACAAACTGCACTAACCTTGGACTAGCCTGAAACAAACAAACAAACAAACAAGCAAGCAAAAATATATGCCAGAGAAGGATATTGCACCGTAGAAATTTGGGCTCTAGAATTGCTTTCCATCACACAAAACTCCACTAAGTGAGAGAGTCTTGCCAACTGCAGCTGACAGTCACGCAAAGTTGAGAAATGGAATGAAGCTCACATGCATTTCTTGGCCTTTCCTGCACAGAATAATTCAGACATAATATATAAATAGAGCAGTGAAACAATTACTTTTTCACCTAGACCTACAACATCAAATACGTATAAATAAATTCTAGTGTTTTATTCTGTTGGGGGAAGGAATGGAGGATTAAAAGAAGGGTGACCTTTTTCAACAGCAAGTTTTGTAGTTCTGATGGCATGTACACCAGAGGGACTGCAGTAACTTGGATCTTGCAATAACCCAGTTTCTCCCAACACGTTTGACCATTTTGGAGTCACACAGGTGGGAGGAAGGAGGTTAGTGTCTTTGTAAAGCTGAAGTAGTGTGTCTAGAGTAGGGAAGAGATGAGAGAAGGGGGGCTCAGGTAAGTCTCTTTAGCCATTACTTAGATTCTGGGCTCGTATTAGCTAGGGCCAGCTGGGCAGAAGGATAATAAAAAAATCCCAAACAGACAATTCTGCTGTTAATAGTATTTCAAGGGAGAAAACAGAAACAGGGGTGGGATGACTTACTGGAGGTGCAATCTTTGGAAAACACTGGGAGCAGGACTAGCAGATGAGGATGCACATCTGGGAGATGTCTGAAGGTTGGGGAAATATTTATCACTAAATCTCAAACCCTGTACTTTAAGAAGGACGCTAGAGAGATGCTGGCACACTCTGCTCTGGAATTAAAATCCATAAAACCTAAGAAAAAAAGAGCTCTTATTTTTTCTTAAAGTACCATCCTATCCCTTTCCCTTCGGCTTCTGTGCCATGTTCCATGGGGACACCTATGGAGAGGGGACATTACTATGCCTAAGTTAGTTTAGGTTTCTAAGCTCTTTAAAGCTACTGTATAAAAATCATATTTATGCCTAGCTTAAAACTTCAAATGCATCCTTACAAAGTTACAAAGGATCTTTTCCAGAAAGGGGCGGGGGGAATAAGCAAACGAAGAAACAAGAACACCTTTCAGATCCCTTCCCCAATACATTCTTTGTTCAAAATATCTTCTTTGGAACCACCACCAAATGACTTTCTGCCACCCAGCAGAGGCTGACACACAGCCCGTGAGCAAGCGACCATCTCCAAAAACGGTTCTGTCCCTCACTTCAGAGTGACCAGCCTACTTTACATTTGAAAGAGCTAAACAACACAAACCAAGTTAGCTGAAAGTAGTTTTTTACTTTAGACTACCATCAGGTGAAGGACTCCAAGCCCTTTCAGGAACTTTTAGGTCTATCCTAAAAAAATCTACGTACACACACGCACACACACACGCACGCTCACATAAACCAAAACCAAACAGCCAAAGAAATAAAACCCAACCTCTCCCACTGGGATCTTCCTTGTGTAGATCATCAAACACTGGAGAGGAGTGGTGAGGTGATGATGCTGTACACACACTGTATGTAACTGCATCAGAGTAAAGAACCCTTTGCTGTTCACCTGGGGAAGGAGAGGAGGAGAAGGATGATTCCAATCTGCCTCTGTAACCACGCGCTTCCAACCCAAAACAGGAGGTTCCAAGTGTGCCTTGCAGAGGGGCTCCCTTACCAACGTATTTCTATGCAAATTTTACAAAAGGCCATGGAATAGAGGAATAGAAAGCAAGACTCAGGGAAAAGAGCAAAGCTTAGGAGAGCAGCCCCGAGGGATGAACACAATATAGGACAAGTCTCAGGAGACACGAAGAATTCGAGCAGCCAAGGCAGGGAGCATGAGAGAGCATCACAACTACAAAAAGTAGTCCATACAGACCCGTTGGCTCTAGCCAACTCTTCTGACCCATGTGCTGTGAGAATTTTTTTCTTCCTAACAAACGTTACATTTTGTAAATCTATGATTTACATTTTGGCGTGTGTTTTGCAGTCACTAAAAAAATCCGAAACGCACAAAAAGGAAAAATTAAACACCTAGATCTGCATGAACTTGCAACAGAAATCTGGTGGTTTGGGTTTTTTTCCTTAAAATGAAAATGCAAAATTTTGTTGTGCACAAAGCACCCCAAAGCTGTGTTGAAGTGGTGCAAGTTTCAGGATTTATGCACTGATGTACTATATGTCTTTAGTACAATTTCCTCCTACTGCAAACACTGCTTCTAGCTTAAAACAAAAATACTGAAAAATTAACAAATGTCATATCTGTCCTGTTTTTTTTTAATCAAATAGTCTGAAAGGCTAAATCACCTGGGGAAATACACCCAAACAAACTTGAACTCTCAACATAGCACAGAACCATATACAAAACTAAGCAGAGTTTTGTCAGAACATCATTTTAGCTGAAGGGAATCTTTTCTGAAAGGAATGAGGAAAGCAGAAAGAAGGAGGGGAATGAGAGAACATATAAAAGTTCTGCTATAAACAAAGATACAGCTTTTTTGTAAAAACCTCAGCTGCCTTTAAAATGAAAAACCTCAAACTAAACCCCTCTCCCCCAGTTGCCACTCTGCTGAGACAGAAGTAGGGAAGGAGAAGGATGGGCTTTGCCAAGTGAGCGATCACAGCTACCTGTGGATGGGGCATGGGGAGGGGGAAATAAAAAAAAAATGGCTAAAGCCACTTAAAAGTCACATGATTGGTTTGTTTTAAAGCAAGCAGGTCAATGTCATATCCACTGTTTCAAACTGCTTTGTTGGGAGAGGGGCTTGAATGATGTTGCTGTAGTCAGTCAGTGTGGGGTGGGGATAGATCTGGTGAGATTTTCAGGAGATCCAGTGGGGTCCAGTCTAAGCTGTGGTGCCTCTCAGGCAGCAGGACCAGCTGGGCATCAGAGGTGCTCCTAGGCCTTG